TAAAGAATTAAAAAAATTTAATATTCCAAGGAGTAGATCAAATTTTTGGCCAAAATCTTGGAAACGTTTTTATATAGAACTTTCATATTTTCGTGGATATACTATGCTTTATCCTAATTATATAAATGCTACAAGTTTTTCTACTAATTATGCTGAGAATGGTGTTCATTTTCATTATAAAGGAAAAGCAAAAAATCAATGGCTTGTTCCATTAATGAAAGAAGATATTATATTAGAAGGTTTACCTGGTGGTCATTTACCAAATTTTGAAGATTTACCGACTATGGATCTTTGGGGAAAAGTTATATCTCAAAAAAATTTAATTCAAAGAGGACGTAATTATCATAAAAAAATTTCAAAATGTCCTCCAAATAATGAATTAACTTACGACCCTCGAGATATATTATGTAAGAATGATTATTCACGCTCCTTCAATAATAAAAATACAAAAAAATTAAAAGAAGAAAAAGATAAAATAACACCTTCTATTGAGAATAATATAACTTCCATTGATGACAACAAGATTAATATTGATGACAAAGAGGATAACAATGAATTCCATGATGATAAAGAGAATTAAGGGACTTTCTATGTTGATAAAGAGAATACTTGATTTTTCTTTTAAATAAAAATAAATCATACTGTTGCATAGAAAATATTCTTACTTTTAATAAAAAAAAATATATATATATACATATACATAAATAATATACATAAAATTTTTTTTCGAAATTTGAGTCAAATGTAATTAATATAAAATTTTAAATACTGCTACTTAGGGTTGTTAATCAATCAATCCGGTCCAGTCCTTCTTAGGATAGATCTTAAGGACCATCAGTCCTAATATTAGATATTGTTAATTGTACAAAGTCCTCCCTCAATGGATTTACCGAATAACCTGATTAAGCGACTTGAAATTAAAACTTCATTTAACGTTATCCCTCCTCCCTCTGCTTACGGGTTTCCCCAAAAAATTAAACAATTAATAAGCTCCCCTCAAATTAAACAAAATTTTGAAGTATTCTTTG